TACATAGCTGAAGTGCGCTTCAGCTAGAATTCTATTTACAAATGGGCGGTTTTTCTACGAGGATTAAAAATAAACAAGTGGCACGGGATATAACAAAAGAATATTATTCACTATGCAAAACGATAATCCGGGTATCGGAACTTGGCTGATTTGAAAACGCCTTCAAATGCGGCATGAGACCTCACGCATTCCGGAGAGTTCAAATAGTTGTATCATTGCGCCTTAGAAATGCGACGGAAGATTACAATTATTGAAACAGCCTCCATGCACGCTGGCCTTTTCGATTTCCGTTAACATCTTTGGCTTTCATTGGGGGGGGGGGGGGGGCCNGGGGGGGGGGGGGTGGCCTCCTAAAATGCACCTCTTCAGTAAACTCAATTAATCAAATTTTGGTAATTTTAAGATTTATAATTTTATCATTCTCATTCTAACTTACTATTCATAATATTGATTGTGCGTTTTGTGTGTGTGAGGGTGAGGGTGAGGGTGTGGGTGTGGGTGAGGGTGAGGGTGAGGGTGAGGGTGAGGGTGAGGGTGAGGGTGTGTGAGGGTGTGTGTGGGGGGGGAAAGGGTGCTTTGAGCAAACTTTTTAGATGAACTTATTCAATCTTGATACGGACTTTGTGAGGCTTTTTTTTAAAAAAATATTCAAATTCATGTGTCTGTCTGTCGAACAAATTTTTCAGCTGTTTTTACAAATCACGGTAATGGAATCAAGGCTAGATGCATTACCTACAGGCTCCACCATTATGAAGACACGCCAAAATGAGAGGACACAAAGATGGACTACATTTTGCAATTTGGAACTATAAATTCTAGCCAGGTTTAAAAAGAACGTATGTGCCGTTAGATTTCCTATGCACGTAAGTGTTTTTCCAGATGAGCCAGAATTTGTAGTTCCAAATTGCAAAATGCAGTCCAGATGAGGAGCTCCTTGTAACATTTTGCTTCTTAAATCTGGTTCTTGGAGAGCTCTTGGAGGCTTCTGAAAAATCCAAAAAGCTCTGAAGAAAAGTATTCTTCTGTACTTGGTGACTATACTTTAGGGATTCTTGAGCCCCTCCTCAAAAAGTATGCTAAACGTTATTAAATACGGATGCTAGGACTTGGTGAGTTTATTGGACTAACACTCTCTTTTTATGCCGTAGTATCTTGATTTATTTTGCGAAGACACCTCTGTTTTCTTAGAGGATGCCTGTCATTCTTGATACGTTGGAGCAGCTTGAATTACTTATAACACCTCTGTCGTGAAATAGTTGCTTGAAGCGACGTGGCATTCCGCGTCCGCCCCCTAGGTACGGGCAACCAGCGTTATATGCGCACAGGTGCCTACAAACCTAACAGGGATACTTCACGCATTGCGTAATGCTTGAAGTATCCCTGTTAGGTTTGTAGGCGTCAGCGTCAGCGCGCGTTTCGCGCTGGCAGCACGCCGCACGGTGGATCGAGTCAATTAGAGAGGTCGGACATGGCATGTGTGACTAAAACTGCAAATTTTGACGTTTATTCCGTCACATTTTAAATTTTAAGGGGTGCTCTTTAAACAAAATTTCACAAGGAAACCAATGAAACCACTTTCAGGACCTTTAAATTCTGTGTAAACGGAGTTATGAGCGTTTAAAGTTTCCAAATTTTGTCCAACTTCACCTATTGCTTCGATCCACTGTGCACCGTTGAATGACCTACCAAGTGGGATTTTCTGGTCAGAGGAGCTTCCGAGCCCGGTGAATCGCGCGGGGAGCCTCAGGACCACGCGCAATTGATCCAGCGCCTAGGATCTACAACTATAACTTCGACTACTGATTAGGATTCAACACTATTCTCGAGATTTTTCACCATATATCGAGAAAAATCGACAGTGGTGCCATGGCGTGAATGGGCCTGTTGTATGCAAAAGATACAGCCAACTGAATACTTTTCGCTCGAAAATTCGCACTTTGCATGGGCACACCAAAAATTCCGAAATCCTCTCATTAGCGCGCAATCCGCGAAGTTTTAAAAAACAAAAAAAACAAATGTCGGCAAGAGACGACTCTTTAAGTCAAAAATATATCTCAAGACATTTTTTTTCACTTCGTTCACAATCGCTTACCTACAGAAAATATAGGCGGTTTAAACTTGCAATGTTGGAAATTGGGGTATGATGATATGAAAGTCTTATATTTCACCGCTGGTGATGAGAAAATGTGTAACTACGAACAAGCTAGGGTGTAATACTGCCGTGCTAAGGAAGAACGCCGAATGAACATTCGGAAGTTGCCAAATTTTCCCGGATAAAACATGTACTTTCGAGGAAAGTTATTAATTTTTTCCTTAAAGTCGTAAGATATTTTAGATTAAATTGAGAACACAACCGTTTGAAAAATTGGAAGAAAAATATTCAGAGTTTTCCAAGTAAATTCGTTGGTTCTTAAAGGGAATATGGTAACGCCTGAAGGCTCATACGGAGTCCCTTAGCACGACAGAATATCAGCGGAAAATGGAATCTTCTGCCATCAAGTCGAAAGAGTCCTTTAGAAGGCGCTCTGAGCAACTATTCCACCACAGAAGTATTGCACAGTATCAAATGTAATTGAAGGCGCACTGACGTTTGTGATTTAACTGGTATCGTTAACCACTGTGTAGAGTCCTAAGTGTTCGCGCGATATTTACCGCTGTCATAAATTCGATCAGAAACATATTTTTTTTTCAATATGAGACTTACAAACAGTCGGCAACACCCTTATACATATTCCAAGAATCAACAACGTCAATATTGAATAGGTCATTCTCAAAACGCCAGAAATTGAAATCGAGAAAAACAGTGAAAACTGTTTTGATCAACTCGTTCTAAATCTCAGAGGCCTGAGAAATGAATGTTTGAGGAGATCGAACTTTAAAATTGGACTGTGGTTGTTTCAGAAAATTGTCCACAATTTTAATGGAAGAAGAAGGAAATACGAGTCCGTGAATGCATTCTTTCTAGAAATGAATGGACTTATTTCTACATGCTTTCCTCATTTAAAGTCAAACTTTCAGTACCTATTTCTAGCGGCAACGTGCACGAGAGCTTCCATTTACACTTTCTCTAGATAAAATATACGATGATAACTTACTGACTGTCGATTACATTACTGATGATCGCTTATAACTGTAATAACTTACTAAACTCTCAAAAAGAGAGGCACATTTGGCGTGAAGTAACAAATATTTACTCCCTTATTCTTGAAAATTCTAGGACTACGCCAGGGATTCAAATCGAATCGAATCAAGAGGAGTGAGTGCTGTATCAGTGCTGAGTGGCACTTGATCGAATTATTTTGAAATTGGCCGGACTGTTCCGTTTGTTTAAGGCCTTAAAAATCAGTTTTTCTGCTTGTTATTATGCAACATGCCTCAACAATACCCAATCACCGAAAACTCAATTTTACTTTTTTAGCGCTTAAGTCTTTTTAGGGGGGGCCGATTCAATGGAGAATTTGCAGGTGTCAGAAATTGGATAAATTCCGTTTTTAAGTGGAAACTACTGAGTGCACTGAAAACAAAGGTATACATTTGATTCATAAATTGAACAATTATTGGAAGAAATTTGAAAATATTATGTATTCTGCTAAAATACATGTGTTTACATGGGTAATGCCGCCGCAGATGACGTCACTAAGCGGTGCATTTCCTCATTTTTAAATTTATTTTCATATTATTTCCCACGTCAGAAAAAAATATGCAAAATAGTGCGAAATCAGCTCTTTGAAAACTTTCAGATGAAGCGAAAAAACATTTCCGTGCAAATTCTCCATTGAAGTTATCGTGGGCAAATAATCGTGCGCCTCGCCGCCGTCGTACCTACAGTGGATCGAGGCAAGGTAGGAGAGGTCGGTCAAAATTTGGAAACTTTAAACGCTTAAAACTCCGTTTTTACAGAACTTTGAGGTTCTAAAAGTGGTTCCATTGGTTTCCTCGTAAAATTTCTTTCAGAGTCACCCCATAAAATTTAAAATGTGACGAAATAAACATCAAAATTTGCAGTTTTAGTCAAAGCTTTCATGTCCGACGCCTCTACTTTACTCGATCCACTGTGTGCCGGCAAGCAGCGTACTTACAGTGCCTTCCAAATCGCAGATATACTTCAAGCGTTTCATCATTATGCGTAATTCCGACGTGTCAATAACCTAGACTTCTCCTGCCGAATATACAGCGTGTTTGAAGGTGTAAATGGTAAACCCACGTTCACCATTTCGCTAAGGTAGACACACTCCGCTAACCTGTCCATGTTTTTTTTGTCAATACTTCATGACTAAAATTCTCTGTTAGACAATTTCAATAGATGATCAACACTTTCCGTACTGGCAGGACAACTATTTCAACCCTAAAAAGAATGTGTCCTGCCAGCTTGTTGTCTTGTATGGTTTTACAGTCAATATTCTGAGGGTATCAAATTTATTTCTGCATGTGCACAGATAAAATCTCAGAGGCCATCCTTAAATGTAAAGAAAGTAACAATATTTTTCGCCTGGTTTCCAAATTTGTATGCTTTTATTTTTGATATACAAATTATACATCAAGATATATTTATATATTTATATTACCATCATGATAAAAATTAGCTATACAGGATACTAAAAATAGTTACTGAATGGTTTAAAAAATGATCTTATTAAACAAGTTGATATGTAAACATTGCAAATATGTAAAAAAGTCTGATTTCATAATGGCTTATAAACATCTAAAAGTAGATATCATTAGTGAGCGACTCTACAGATCTACTGAAACATTATAATTAATAGAAGTAATTCGAATTATTTAGTTGAAGTGGTACGTTGGAATGTACTAGCTACATATTTTTTTGGTAAATTATTTTATTGGTTTCTTTAAAAAAGTTAAATATTCGCGAAGGCAAAGAGATAGATGCAAGTAAGTTGACATTTTTACAGATTCTTATGTAAAGCTTGGAACTAATCTCTATCACAACACGCAACACGCATGTAAGGACTCTTTGTTACTCCACGCGTGTAAGATCCATCTTTTGGTTCACTTCTGTAGGCTTACTCTTAAAAGTTGCTATTCCTATTTTATTATTTATATATCAGAGAAAAATCAAAAAAGAAGCGTGAAGGAGACTAGACATTCTTTAATGTATACTCCTCTCATCTGCAACGTGCAGCGTGAAATAATTCCAATGAATTTTGGAAACGCACTTAACTTTTTTACTAGATTAGTCCTATTTTTAATTATCATATGAATGGTGTCCTGCTTTCACATTTACTTGATTTATAATTACGGTTCATCTACTAAGTAGAATTAAAGCGTTTTGTAAATTTTTGTTATATCGACTTGGAGGATAACTTGGGGGCCTAAATTGATTTTAAATTGCGAATAAGGTTTTCATGAACTGAAAAAAAAATAAGAATTATTTTGCCATGTACAACCGAATTTTATCTGAGGGAAATTAATAGAAGAAGGAATCCACGATACGAGGGGAGGGATGATACTTTTTTTTACGAAAGAACTGAAAAAAGAAATGGCAATCAGCCGAATTTTTTATCTTCATTTATACTAACTTTCGGATGTATCCATTTTTTAGCTTTGCTACTGGACTTGGGTTACGTCAAAATTCTAAGCATTCCGATTAAAGGATTATCAAGTTTTATTCCTTTTTTCCTTTGCGTTCAAGGAATTATTTATTCATAAAAAACACGTATTCTTACTAACAGTAGGTGGAATGGATATTCTCTAAAAAAATCATTTGAGTCACACATCATTTTGGCTGGACACGATATATTTTGTGAAGTGAAATTTGGCTGAATGATAAAAAATTTAGTTAGGAGACTTCTGATAAATTTAGGGAAGACAAATAAATCAAATTATCTTAGGGATACTTACTCTTTTAAAACACAAACAGAGGACACCTCAAATTTCCAAATATCAATAAAAATTTGGTTTCCAGGATAAGTATCTTTGGAGTCAGTTATTTGAGCAAGATTGTAGAAAATTCTGGGAGGAACTTCATGATGCTTCTCCAGGGATAAGTCCAGCGGCGAGGCGTGTATGAGCAATTATCGATATCTCCCCATTCGAAGCTATGGTAAATAATTGATTATTAAAGTGTTTGTTGCGAACACCCTGTTTATCGATCCTTTACCATTGGCTTAAATGACAGATCAATCGATACATCGTAAAGCATGCCACGCCACTGGGTAATTTGTTATGGACTGGACAATGATGAACATGGGTAGGTGCCTAATCAAGCCAAAGTATTCGAGACTGAATATGATACTTTATTTTATAGAAAACGATTACTTTCAGTTCTTACGTTACTATCTTCTTCTATGCGAAAGGTTTGAGAGAGTTAAGAACAAGAGATGAAGCTATTCTGGCTAATTTTTAATGGAATTGACAAGCGATTTTCCGCGGTCAAATAAGACTGACAATGCCAACTCCGTCACGACAAAATGATCCCGATACACTAATTACGAAATTATTTCTCAATTGAAATCCCGTTATATCTTTCAATTTATCTCTTGGTAGCATTTTCCAAAAGTTCCGTTCTTTTTATACTCGCCTTTGCACCTCCGCTCAAAAGCGAGTTGGTTATGTCGAGGCCTAGGAAAATTCAAAATACGTAACTACGTTCGGAGTCTTCCGCATTTGAGTACCAAGTTGGCCAGTGGCGTGGAGTGCTTGGCGATATATCGACTGATCGGCCATTTTAACCTATGGAAAAGGATCGATAAACAGGGTGTTCGCAACGAACACATTAATAATCGATTCTGTACCGTAGCTTCAAATGGGAAAATATCGATAGTCGATCAATCACGCCTCGCTACTGAGGTTGGCATTGATGCTGTTGATCCCGAGTTATTTGACCGCAAAAACTGGCACAACGTTTTTGGACAGAATTTATCAGCCTCAACGTGGAGGAAAGTTCCGTATTAAAAACGTGGATCGTTGGCAAACTACACATTACCCTAACAGTGGCGTGGCGTTAATTGCGATATATCGATTGTTATGCCGTTTAAACCTATGGTAAAATATCGATTATTAAGGTGTTCGCTGCGAACACCCTGTTTATCGATCGTTTTCCATAGGTTTAAATGGCATAGCAATCGATATAGCGCAAAGCACGCCGCGCCACTGTACCCTAAGTATAAAGAAAACGAAAAACGATAAATGAAAAGGAGGGAGGTCTTGGTCAGATACAGAGCGTATGCTTAAACAGATGTGATGCATACATGATAGTTTAACCACATGTAATTTTACTACGGCGCATGATCTTACAACGGCTCGCAAGTTGAATTACGGCAGTAGGGACAGATCGAAATAAATAGATCGTTTTCAATTCTTCATTCATATACTACAAATACATATCTTAGGCGAGCATGATTTGTATCGTAGCTTTTCGCACTTTCGTCTTTTTAGTATCTAAACGAAGAATGGAAGGCTCTCCGCCATCTGCGATCTTCTTAATAAATACTGCCTCACCACCGCGGATAAAGCGTGAAATCCACAGAGTGTCAAAACGCCTTCATTTCCGGGCGTATGCAACGCGGATATCCGTGGAGTTCGAAAAGTTGCATCCAATATTTATAATGAACTTGGTTCGGGGTTTTTCGCACGCGATACTATAACTGAGGGAGTTGTTGTGTTTTTCTTACTCCTTAACCTGATTCTATTGTGCCGATAAGGTAAACTAGTACTGATTTTTACTGTCGCACCTGAATGGTTCCCGAGAACAAAAAATGAAACCCCCTGAAAAATTGATTATCGGGCAGTTGGAATCTATATTAACCCGCCCGACTTGTCGATGAATTTTTTGCCAGATTTTAATTTAAATGCAAGTTTTTTTTTTTTTTTTTTTTTTTTTTTTTTTTTTTTTTTAAACAGTAAAATACTGGAGACATGTGAAATAACGCAAGGAAACTGTCCCTTGTTTGCCTTATTAGCAGACATTTGAAAAATAGATTTCACACAAAAATAGATCATTCCTTCGGATGAAGGTGAGATATTTTTCATTAGTAAAAATCGTAAAAAAGTGATCAGTATTTTCAATTTCTGTTGACAACCATGTTTTATTAAGAATTCTCTTGCTGAAGCCCCCGAGAAATGCTACATTTTTCCAATTTTATTGATGTATTTTTAATTTTTGAAAAGTTGATATAGACTTTCTCTCTTCATCGCTCATTTGATGGTATTTTTTATTAATCATACAAAATCTCTCCTTAAAATGTACACCATTGCTGCTAGGAAAGGAAAAAATCTGTGGTTGAATGGTATGAATTTACGGAACATTAATCTCAAATATTCGGTAAAAAATGGGGGAGAAATGCGTGAAATTCGAAGTTTGAAAAGAGAAATTTCCAGGGAACAGGGGAATTTAAAGAGATACACTTTTTTATAAGTTCAGGTGCGATTACATTACTAGTTCAGTTTGAGGCCTCCAAGAAGCAGGTGACCAAGGGATGTTCCTTCAAAGCTCACGCTATGTGAATAATGCGGAAATAGTTATCAGTGGCGTGGCGTGCTTTGCGATACATCGATTGATCTGCCGTTTCAATTTATGGAGAAGGATCGATAACAGAATGTTCGCAACGAATACCTTAATAATCGATTCTTCACCACAGCTTCAAATGGGGACAAATCGATAATCGATCATTCACGCCTCGCCACTGATAATTATCAACTCAGGTGCACTCTCACCAACCCCTCACAAGTCACGACGTGAAATGTTTCAACTTCCTCCGCAAAACACTGTCAAACTATACAGTATGCATAAATGAATAGCATTGTCTGGATCTGAAGTCTACAGACCTACTCCCATGGATTGAGTTCTTCGTCCATGCCCAAGAAACTCTGAACAATATAATCTAGCACAGCCCATCTATGATCAAAACTACGAACGATAACAAAATTTACCTAGACGTTTTTTTTAAGTATCAACACAACTATATAATAAGAAGAAGAATAAGAGAAAAGTAAATAGGGATAGAACATCAAGACTGTGCTTGCTTTGCCAAGCACTTCTGCGGATTATGCGGGTCCATTTTATTATACTTAACATTACGGAAATTTGGTTCAGCTCAAATATTTATGTTACGATAAGACTAACTCTACGGCTAATAACTAGCAAAAATCACAAATCTCTGTTGAGTAGGGAGTCTATGTGAGACTTAGTAATACTTCGCAGTATTTAGTTCCAAAATCATATGATCACACTTTTTGGCTTTATCCATCTCGAAAGTAGGCTACCTATGATAAATCAAGTACCTGCTCATAATTACATGCAGGTCAATTGAACTAACACTAAATAGATTGTTACTTCGCTTTCAGAAAAAGAGCCCTTTGAGCTAAATTAAAGTTTGAAATGTAGCGGCAATTTTCTTCAGACCACTCTCCAGACTGCATGCTCATGCCATATTCCTGCATTAAACGGGGAATTTTTCCATGATTATCAAAATTCTGACTTATCCGTACGTAGGTATCAATACGTTTTATATTAACGCTATAGGCACGGAATGAAAATTATAATGATTTTTGGATACAATCATGCAAGCATTATCAATTATGGATGAATTTCTTTGAGAATTTAAGGTGAAAGATGATGATGGTACCGATCAGGATTGTAGGTTCCTGAATGTAACTGATGCATGCGCACAGAGGGCCATCTAGACTTATGTACGGAAGAATATGAGAGCTTTAAAAAATGTTAAATTGATAATATAAGGCTTCCAAGTTAATAGGAGGGCCGCACTTTATTTTAAGGTCCATTTGATTTTTTCCTCTCTTAGATGAGGTAAGATCGAAGAATCGTCATAATCGATGAATAGTCGAAGAATTCAATTATTTGCATGGTGAGGTGGACGATGAATTAAATCTGGTATATTTATCTGCTTTCAAATCAGGGTGAAATCAGAGACGGATAGATGAACCAAAAGTGAATCCAGATAAAATTACTGAGAAAATAAATCCAAACGATTTGAATTAAATGCGTTACAAACATTTAATATTCTAGAGCCACCGCATGAAAAACCTATTGTAAGTTTGTAGTTTATCTTTTGAGCTGATTGACAAAACATAATAGAAAAAAGGAAAAGAACCAGAAATAATTTTGAAATCTATCTAACCTAATTCAATGAAGCATGATCAGGTGTTTAGCTTAGTAAATACAAGGAAACAGACCGCATTGTTCTGATTAAATACAAGTGAGGCATAGAGAGCAGCATCTAATGAACATTCCCTAGGAAATTTTTAGAGTTGGCGAGAAAAATTTATCTATAATACTGTACAAACAAATAACTAATCAGACACAAGTATGAATAACCACCAATAACAGAAATTCTTACTTTCTTACAACGAAGGGTAACATCAAAACTGTACAAAAGATGAAAATCAAAAACAGAATTTTCCCGAAGCACGTGACATCCATAAGGGGACCGTCCTAGGTCATGGAAAATTAAAATGTCTGTGGACAAAATCACGAGTCCGACCCAAAAATTATGGCTACAGTCGTACAGTGTTGGTTTCCTGCAAGAGCGGGTCATCTTCATTGATGCAAATCTCAAGATCTATACATATAGGTCTGTCATTGCGCTCGGGGTTGTCCTTGTCCATTGGATCGTGACGTCAGTAGGTATAGCTCAGTGGCGTGGCATGAATTGCGATATATTGATTTTTATGCCATTTAAACCTATGGAAAAGGATCGATAAACACAGTGTTCGCAGCGAACACCCTAATAATCGATTCTTTACCATAAGTTTAAATGGCATTACAATCGATATATCGCAATTCACGCCACGCCACTAGTATAGCTGCCGTAAAAACCAGGAATGTTGGAAACAATGCCTTTCTCATTGGAGAATACTGATTTGTATTAACGAATCATTTGAATTGCTTACTTTTAAATCCTTTGAAACTTTTTGAGTGTCGAAAGGAACGTTTAGACATTAGCATTCAGGGTTTCGATTTTGCCGAATTTGTTATTTTTTTCATTTTTACAGTTGACTCTGCATCAGCCATTTTTACAGGCCAGATTCATACCACAAAATGGCTCGTACAGCGCTAACTTCAAAAATCATTAAAAATTATAAAAACGTAAATTCGGCCGAATCAAAACCCTGAAAGCTAATGTCTGGACGTTCTTTTCGACTCTCAAAAAGCTTTAAAAGGTTTAAAAGAAAGATATTTAAATGATTCATCAATGAAAATTAGCCTTCTCTCATGAGAAAAGCATTGATTCCCAGCTCTCTAGCTTTCGCGCCAGCGCAGTGACGTCATGCGCAGAAGATTCTAATTTTGGTTCTGGGAATGACTGACCTATACATTGTATTTGGTACATCAAACAGGTGAGATTGTATCGATATCGATTGGTTCAGCAAGTAAACATAGCTTCTTTCTGGTCCCAAATGGCAATGAAAAGTGAAATTGTTAGGAATTTTCTTATTTTCAGCATTTCCAAATGAGATCTTATAATTTTTGTTTGAGGTTATGTTCTACTGTTTGGAACCAAACGATACATCGAACCACTATCGAATACGATCTACATGAATACATCTTGGCAACTTTTCAATTTGGTATGCAGGAAGGTGAGGTTTAACTGATCAAATACCCCCTCAAAATTGGGCGTGATTGAGAGATATTCAGTCAGTGGCGAGACGTGAAAGATCGATTATCGTTATTTCTCCATTTGAAGCTATGGTAAAAGATCGATTATTAAGATGTTCGTTGCAAACACCCTTTTTATCGATCCTTTTCCACAGGTTTAAATGACAGGTACATCGATGTATCGCAATTCACGCCACGCCATTCAGTTGCTCAAGGGCCTCAGTTGTTTACAATCGCTGTTAACCACACCAGCATATCAAATTTTCCACGCTTCCTCTGAACATTAAATACATAATATTATTTTGTCCTCTACTCGGATACTGTTTAATGTCTAATGCATGTTTAATTTTTAACGTAAAATAGAAAATTTCCTCTGTACACTTTACTTAAAATTGTGCGATTTCCTCCTGATTTACTATTCAATGAGTATTGTGCGAGTAGTTGGCTTTTTCGTACATTGGAAGAAATTAAAAACTATTCTGAGCATGAATAATAACTATCAGACAAAATTCCCCTCATAACCGAGTGCAGTACGGTGGCGATTTTGCAAGTTGGCAACGGTGTTTTTCCTCTATTTAAATCTATTAAAAGTATCGATTATAGGCGAGAAAAGCTGTCCCACCAAGAATCGATTGTTTTACTTACATTTAAATGGAGGGAAAATATAGTTGCCAACTTTCAAGGGCGATTCTCGCAAAGTGGCAACGAAATGTTTCGCTTCTTTGAATGGATGTGGTTTTGAATGGAGAGAAACCAGTCATACCGACTTCAAAGAATCGTAACAGCCTAAAAATGAATTGTACGATCGATAAAAAGTGTCCCCGCAGTAATGAATGTTTCGAATGAACGCTAAACAGATGGTTTCCATCATTTTTGCATTCAGGAATACAGTGTCAGGATGACACCGAATAAAACATGCCACTTCCTTGATTCGCTGCATTTTTATTTACCTAACTACCTTCAAATTATAAAAAGACCAAACGTTAGTGTACGTGTCGAACGATCGTGTTCTGATTGTTATATCTGAGAAAGGAGAAGCAAATAATGATAAACTCGCCGCACGAAAGTATTGTTTTTACATTTAATTTTAGCGAGGATTATCGTCTTAGAAGAGGAGAATGGAAGACGTCATCATTCATGAACGTGCACTTGATCATCGATATTTTCCCTTTTGAATCTATGGTAAAGAATCGATTATTAAGGTTTTCGTTCATCAACCCTGTTTATCGATCCTTTTTTATAGACTCAAATGGCAGATCAATCGATAGAACGCAAAGCACGCCACGCCACTGCACCGAATTTAGGTCTCGTTATTGATACATACGTTGTAAAGTAGTATGACGGTTTTTTTGGTGCAAATGCCTGATGTTCTACAGCGTGACATGGTGCTTGGAATTTATTAGGAAATATCCTAAAATGCAGAAATTATCGATCGATATAGACAATCAAAATTTTCTACATAGTGCTGAAGATTCGCAAAAAACGGGAGTGCAGCTCTCATATCGATGGCTATATTAAAAAAATGCGTAAGCCTCCGATTGGGGGATATAAATCTTCGCCCAGCCTTAAAGAAAACCAACAAAGCATTTTTCGCAAAATTTACTGTGAGTCGTCTTTAATCAAACAAACATTTCCGAAAAAAATTCAAAAGGAGGTTCTCCGGATTGTTTCTTTTCGGAAAAAACAAGAAGGTAACAGATCTCTGAAAGTTGCAAAAGAGATACGCATTTCCTTATTTTTGTCATCGATGTTCATCACAGACCGATGAGAACAGGGTAGAATAATCCCGATTTGGACGTACATCAAGAATTAGGTCATCCAGTCATTGTTTTTGTCCCCCATAAAGCGAGGTTTCCAGAAATGATTGACGTGACACTATGTTTGGATTGATAGGTATCATATTTTATATCAAAATTTTTGATTTTGTGCAAGATATTACCATGAAACACGACCGAGTTGTACTTCAAGCCAACACTTACGCCGATAGTCGCATTACTAAACTATATTCAAAATGACCCCGTAACCATTTAGACGTCATATCATCATAAATTTCAGATACGGAAACTACACATGAGTGAAATTAATCACAAGTTGCTTTGACTTTCTGTCTTAGGTCATTTTCTTATCAAATTCTCAAAGCTTAAAAAGTAACCAACTCAACAGGAAAGACACAAGCAAGAAGGATTGACATTCGTGAGACCATTCTCGACTCCTCTTATCAAGAGTTCATACAACAAAACTTGATAGAACAAAATGAAATAAGTTCAATGGATGAAAAGCGAATGCGAAACTGAGCGATGAGTAGATAAGTATAGATAACAAAGAAAACGAACACAAAATTCAGGAATGTAGAATTCAAGACTGTCAAATAACCTGTGGAACTTCTTTTTCTTCACAAAAAAAGAGAGGAATAGTCACATATTTATAAAAAAAATGTGTTTGTAAAACAAGTAGTAAAAAGAGACAATAATCTGCCCCTTCTATTTTAAATCTACCCTATAAATATAAAAAAATAAGTACCTAAATCAGTTCAAATAATAACACAAATTTGACTAGTGTCGAGAAATCCGATCTCAATGGATGCTGGGTTTCATCATGGGGACAAAGTAATCGAGGAATAGTGCGAAAATCAAGTCATTGAAAACATATTCATAAAGCACAGTAGATTATTCTATTCGAAGGAACTATTTTCCGCTTTTCAGCTGGGGAAGAAACAAGAGTCAGGGCAAAACTTGATTTCGATAATGAGAAATTCCTTCCAGATTACATGAAGCCGTTGCAGAGGAAAAGGTTGCGTTGTTTACAAAATGGCACTGTTCGACAGAAGCAGCAGCAGAAACTGAAAGACAGCGAGGAGGAGGATGAACGGTGACGAATGACTGGATAATTTATTGAACCCATGTTGAAGGAGAGAACTTGGCGCTGCACTGGTGCAGTTGCTTGAGTTGGCAGGGACAAGGTAACCTAGGACAAAAAAAAGAGAGTTTAAAATAGGATCCGACCAGAGCTTTTGGAGCTACATAAAAAAAAACTCTCCTATTAACCCTCCTTTCGGTAACTTTGCATAACGGTATGATTCTTGGCATTTTGAGGAAAAAATGTGACATATCGACGGTGTAAGTCGACAATCACATAACTCGGTTTGAGACGTCGCAGACTTCCTGGCATACTTGATTTATTACACGGAAAACTACTCATCGGCAATTCTTTAAAACCGCAGTGATTTTTCTTCTCTGTGCGAAGAAAATTCTGTATAAACTTCAAGGAATGATGTCAATTTGTTCTCCTTTAAAAAAAATAACATAGAAGTGGAGAATTTCAGACACCTCAACCCTGGTAAAAATTGGCGGTAGAATGTGTGTTCCAAAATACTATAGATCTAAAGCCGGCTGTAAGATTTCCAATAGCTTCTGTAGCCGGCAACACAATTTCTTATGGCCTTTTATAGCCGATGGCGACTAAGCAACAGTCAGACGATAAAGTTTATGCTAAACGTTACTAATTACGGATACTAGGACTTAGTTAGTTTTTGGACTACCGCTCTCTTTTTGTGCCGTAGTATCTTGATTTATTTTGCGAGGAAAGCTCCGTACTTTTGGAGGATGCCTGTCATTCTTAATACGTTGGAGCGCCTTCAATTTCTTATGATACTGTGCAATACCTCCGGTGTGAAATAGTTGCTTCAGACGCCGTGGCACGCTGCGGCGCGGCGGGCGGGCAGCCAGCGCGGAACGCGCATTGGCGCCTACAAACCTAACAGGGATACTTCACGCATTGCGCAATGCGTGAAGTATCCCTGTTAGGTTTGTAGGCGCCAGTGCGTCGCCGCTCCGCTTTGTGTTAGGCTCTCATATTTAATCTCGCGGAGTCAGCGTTTCCCAATTCATGATTTTGAAATGTTTGCACACTCTGTATGAACTATTCTCGTTTTAATTGATGAAAAAAAAAAAATGTTTTAAAGGAAAATATAATGTGTGTTTTGTAAATATTAAGGTAGTTCCGTATCAAACTTAATGATCTCCAAAGCACAGGAATTTCTACACAATTTCCTATAGCCTTTTATAGCCAATGGAGATAAAGTGTAAAGCCCGGCGATAGGAAATATAGTTCGACTGTATACTTTTTTATCGCTTCGTATAGCCCGGCTATATGATTTGCTCCGCTTTCTACAGCCAGCTTTATGATTTTCAATAGCCTTTTTTAGTCGGCTATAAGAATTCCTATGGTATTTTGAAACGCAGCTCCTATCGCAAATTTTTACCAGGGAAACGAGATTTGTGATTGCGAACTTACGCCATCGAGGTTCATCCGAAAATTCGAGAGCTTTAACAAAAATTGCAGTTCACATAGGCATTTGGGGGGGGGGGGGGGGAAATCCGAAATTCCTT